AAAAAAAAAAAAAAAAAAAAAAAAGGCTATGTGCAGTTGACCCCGAAAAATGGCACAACACATCATTTTCAAGATGGTTATAGTTTCCGAAATTTAACAGATGCAATGTGGAGTCAACAATTTTTTTCCAATGAACCAAAAAGAATGTCCCTCAAAGGGTTTAAGATTGTGAAGATACAACTACTATAAATTGTTATATTGGATTTTACTACCTACTTTTGATGATATACCAGTGACATCAATACAACAATATCTACTTTACAAATTCTTTCCTTTTAACAGTATAATAATAATAATATATGCTTTCTTGCTTTAATTTAATTCTGATGTCTATGCCTTAGCTAGAGGTGACAAGAGTTCTTGTAGGGGGCACAAGAGATTTTGCATAAGCAATAGGTAAGGAAATTAGCTTCTTTGGTTTGCTCACATAAGCTCTCCTTGTGAAGTTGTTGTAGTCATTGGCTTCAATCTCGTCGAGTATCTGGCGGTACAACAGCAAAGATGCCCATACCTGCAAAAGCCGAGATCATGAGAAGTGTTAATTTGGTTCGGATAGACTTCATTCAAGTATGTCACCACCCCGGGAATCAATAAGAAAACAAGTGCTAAGTTTCAGATCACTGAATAAACTAAAAGGAAAGAAGAGACGTTTCTCGCTCATTGCCCAATAAAAGTATAGGTCTTTGCCTCTACCTAAACTACAACAACAACGACAACAACTATAAACCAAGTGTAGTCCCACAAGTGAGATCTGGGGAGGGTAGTGTGTACGCAATCCTTACCCCTACCTTAAGAAGGTAGAGTGGTTGTTTCCAGTGCCTCTACCTAAACTATGCAATGAAATTATCAAGACATACGAAGATAAAGCTGTTCTTTTCCTAGGAAGTGAAAAGCAAATAGAGGATCATAGAGAAGATTTTGGCGCAACAGTATCCAAGGCGAATCTTACTTCTGGCGAAGAGGCGAAGAGAATACTGGTGTAAATTTGGGAACAATGTTGTCTTTCCAAGCATACTAGTACAACTACTTCTAATTCAAACTAAAATAATATCAGGTCTCTCAATCATCTAAGTTTCGGTAGCAGATAACATGGCTGATGGAATGACTTCAATCAAATCCGGATATTTCATTGACCAAGAAATACAACGGAATGGATCGTTAATGTCCAAATATTTTGATATATTGCCTTCTTTTTTTTAACCCTACCATATTCCATGCAGCCAAAAAAGTTGAAAAAAGAATCTACTCAAACAAGAAATCATATTCATATAACTAAGAGTTTATGCCTGCTTACAGGCCATCTACTAGCTGAGCTCAGTTGTGTCACTCCTTCCTCTGCCTCGTCGAAGAATTTTCTTGCCCTCTGGATTTGCTTCTTCATAAAGCTTCTCCATTTATCAGTCACTTTTCCAGCAAAAATGTCATTGTCGGAGAGACCTGCCTGTGCTAACTCATCTTGAGGTAAGTAGACTCTTCCTCTTCTGGCACTGCAACGAAAGCAATATATAAGAACAAGGGAAGCCTTAACCAAAAAGATATCGCACTTCACTTACGAAGAGCTTTCTTTCCCTATCTGCAGTTATCCTAATTATTCCAATATTATGTTGACATAGCAACAACAAACCTGATAAACAGCTCAACTAACATCTTTTGGTATGTCATAGTAGCAAATTGGACGTGCGTAAAATTGTAGGTTTGTACTTACTCTTCTCCGACATCTCTGAGTATGTTGGTTAGTTGATTTGCGATCCCTAAAGCCAAAGCTGCATTATATACACTCTCTGTTGTTGCCTTTGAATCAGGTGCAATACCCATAATTGGAACACTCATCAACCCAACCGTACCAGCAACGTAATAACAATATAGGTATAGCTCATCAAAGTTTCTGTATCTTGACTTCCTCAAGTCCATACGCATTCCTTCAATCATATCTCTGAACGGCTGCAACGTCGATTGAACAATGAGACGGTTTACATGATTGAACCAAGTGAATCAACTTATGTGAATGAAGAAAGCGACATAGAACTCTGAATCAGAGAAAGATAAAAATGATAGAATTGGAAGACAAACCTGAATATCAACTGGAAACTGGGAAACAGTATCGGACAAAGCAGCATCGAGCATATCAAATGGCCGCCCACTGAAAACATCTTCCAGCCGGTCTTCCCACCTATCTAAGGCTTGTGGAGTAATATGTGATGCATTCGGGCCATCAACAAGTTCATCTGTTCTCCTGCACCATACTGTTTAAAAGAACATAATGAGAAACTTTTCAACTAAGAAGTTCGTTTATATATGCAATATCAACACTTTCATTAATATCTGTAACATGTGCTTTTTCAAAGTGGTCTTGACAATGCAAGACTAGCTAATAATTTGGAGAGAAAGATTTGTCTCACTTTAAAATCATCTCACAGTAACGCCAGTATTACTCTCTTATGAAAAAGATTCAGAGATTCAAATCTAACTTCTAAAAATTTTACAGAAACGACCAGAAGTCTCTTATGATAAATATTCCGTCAAAAAGTTAAAGCATACTACATCTGATACTACAGATTTGAATTCTTATATTGCCTTTCAAAGCTCAAGTTTTACATATTACAGGTACCCCTCAAACTCAAATTTGAGTTCTCTTTGTCTCCAATTAATCGCGCGTGTGTGTGTCTGTGTATCTGATACTAAATGGCTAGAAACCTCACCATATATTGCCCAAATAGCCCTTCTTCTCTCTGGAGTCATTAGCATAGTTCCTGAATAACAAACAAAAACAAGATCAATTTTTGAATTCATCGATTACATAAACAGGCATATAGTCTTAATTAGTACTTAAACCAATATTTTGGTAAACCAATAAATAGATGAAAAGGTAACCTAAGTAAAATGTCTTTGCATACTCTGCGCATACTTCACTACACCTATCATATGCTTCACTTAACAAGCTCAAATTCCCGGGGAGAGGGATCTCCGGCTTCACTTCTAAATCATCAGTAGATCTCAGCTGCCTTTTCACTAAAGCTGCTTGTTTCAATACCACATCATAAACCTTCTGTTCTGATGTCATTGTCGCCATTTCTCCCGTTGGTGTAGCCACCATCGCAGACCGTACAGAACCAAAATTCCACCTTTGTTTCACACCTCTTTTGATTCTCTCATTGCACACTAAATTCCTATGCCTCGACGAGTCAAAAACCCGGTTTCCCTCCCTTACTGAATCCAAGAATCCTGTCCCATTTGAGACCTCACAAGGTGAAACAACCCATAACAAGGCAACAGACATTCTGAACAACAAAACCTTGGTTGTCTAAAACAATTCCAAGGTTTTTTTGTCTTACTTTCTGTTTTCTGTTTCCTTCCCTCCTCTGCTTAATTTATAAAAAATAAAAAATAAAAAAAATACTCCTAGTAGATTCCCACTAGAGTCTAAATCAACTTTCAAGAAAATACCTACTTCCTGTTATGTAAAAGATTATAAAAAGACCACAAAGAAAGCAACTCAGCTTTTCCTAACTCAAGCAGAAAATAACCTGTTTCTTTGCTTCTGCAAAATGAGATAAACAAAACATCACAATTAACACTCAATTATAACCACTGAAGCAATAAAAATTTACAACAACAAACTCAGTAAATCCCACAAATGGGTTCGGGGAAGTATGTAAACTTTACCCCTACCATGAGGGTATAGACTAAAGAAAAGATGAACAAAAAGCAATAGCAACAAGTAGTAACAATAAGAAAATAATCAAGATGTAGTAATAGAGATCTAACACTAATAGAATACAAAGCTACCTGCTAAAAATTTGAACTTTGTAAAAAAATATCTAAATGTGGCACAAAGAAAGGATATTTAAGAAACTGGTTTTTAATTATTGAAAGCACAAATAGTAAAAACTCTTCCAATGACAATGGAATCACACTTTTTAGAGTAATGGGTGCTTTCTATATTTAGTCAACAAGATTATTATAAGCTCATTTGCTAACTTAGGCAAGTGCTCAATTACTATTATTATAAAGCAACAACAACAAGCACACTAACAGAACAATAAAAAGTTAAGAAGTTAAAGAACAAACCTTAATTTTCTTGTAACAATGGCTTTTCAAAAATAGCCACTTTAATTTTCTTGTTTGCTGCTGTGTACTCTTCAAGAATCGAAGGAGTTTCTTTGTTTTTCTTCTCGTTTTGCTCCACATATTTGTGGTCATTTTATAGGATTCATTATATTTTTTTTCTTTTCTTTTGTGCCGATTGGAATTGAGTGATTCAGAATCCATCTGCTTCTTTTACCCATTTTCAGTTAATTAAATTCTTTTGGTCACAATAAGGACACGTAGATTTTCAAAATATGGTACCACTGTAAGTCTTGACACCACGAGCTGACGAGTACGGATGTTCATGGTTCGGTTTGGGTCGATTTTTCCCTAAAATAAAATCAAACCAAGTAAGTTGATTTTTTAAATATTGGAACCAAACCAATTAAGTCGGTTTTTTATCGATTCAGTTTTTCGATTTTTTCGGTTATTTGTCGGTTTTTTCTTAAATATGAGACATACACTACCAAACGCATATTCCGGCGAGTACATTTTCAACGTAACGCTATCAAACCAATTGCTCTTTGAGAAATTTATCATTTACCAAGATATATTGATGATAATTGACTCAAATAGTGATGAATAACTTAAATACTCAATTAAAAATCGATTATTTTTAACATGAAATAAATTCTTGTACTTAATAAAAGAAAACTACCAATCAAACTAGAAGGCAAAGAATTAGATTATTATAATAGCAAAGAACTAGACTAAAAATACAAATGACTAATATGTACCATAAAATTTTAGAAACTTTATATAAAAATATACATATATATAGGTGTAATAATAAATTTAAATAGTTACTTTTATAGTCGGTTTGGTTCGGGTTTGTTTTTATTAAAACCAAAACCAAACAAAATTTGATCGATTTTTAAAATTTAAAACCAAAACCAAAACAAAACCAAACATAAAAAAAATCGGTTTTTTTGGTCAGTTTGGTTTGGTTTTCGGTTTGGTTCGGTTTTTCGAGTTTTTATGAACACCCCTACTGACGAGTTAGAATTCGGTATTTTTTGCACACAACATAATATATATTGAGAACTATTCAAATGTTAATAAATATAATTTATTTGAAGTAATATTTAAAAAGTGTAATGATTTAAGAGAAAAAATTAAAAATGTGAACTCATTGAGTTTAAATTTTAAAGTCATTTATAAATTATGATTAATTGGGAATCCAGTACATTCTCTAAGGTCAAATTTCAAGGGAACTTTACATAACTGTCACAATTTAAAATAAATATAACAAATTCGTAGCATCAAATCCAATATTACAGTTGTGGCAGGAAAATATTTATATTTGTAGCACACAGTTCCATTAAAATAGGAATATTAATTATTAATCTTTAAACATAAGCAATTTGAATGGAAAGTCAATAATTCTTTGTACAAAAATCATGTCGTTTTTTCTCTTTATCTATTAGCTTTCCTTCTTCTTCTTCATTTTCTTAATTTTATTTTCTGCCGAAGCCAATATATTTTCTAAATTTGTTCCATTCGTTTTCTTTTTAATTATCGTTCTTAAGTTTTTTTCTTTCTTCTTTCTTTTTTTCTTAACATAAAGATCTTACTTCGATAATAATATACTTTAATATATACAAAACGTATATAAAAAATATATATATTGAATTAGCACATATAAAATATATACATAAAAAATACATCTTCAATTAAGATGACACTTAGACATGTAAAATATACATAAAATAATATATCTTAAATTTAATTAAGATGGCATATAAATATACAAAAAACATATATATAAAAAATATATCCTGAATTAAAATGGCACTTGACATATAAAAGATATTTGAAATATACATTAAAAATACATCTTAAAATAAGATGGCACTTCACAAATAAATATACAAAAATTATATACATAAAAATATATTTTGAATTAAAGTGATACTTGATATACAAAGTATAAAAGACGTATAAATCAATACATCTTGAATTTAGGTGTCATTCACATATGCATCAGATTTTAAAAAATAGAATGAAGAAGATGAATGTTGGGCTTAATTTTTGTAATATGCTAATAATGAAAAACAAAATACTCTTTATAGAATAAACAATAAATGATGCTATTTTTTTAAATAATAGTTAAAAAGGGATCAAGTATTTAAAAAACTCAAATTTGAACTTCGAAGTAGGTCATTTTAACTTCTACTGACATTTTAGGTATCATTTAACCTTTAAAAATTTGTGTAATCATAGAAAATTGTTAGCACGAGTGTGGCCAAGATTTTTTCTGAAAGAATTTTTTTTTTTAAAAAAAAAAAGGAAAGTAGTAGTTTTGGGGCTCAAACACAATTGGCAGTATGCAATTGTTTAGCTGTGGACCCGCTCATTCCGCCTAATTGGATTAGCCTTTTTTTTTAGTTCGTTCATTAAATTTGAGTGTTTGCAGCCCAATCACTGGAAGATAACGTTATCAAGAAACACAAGTGTGCTCATTGGCTGAGTGTACACGTGTAGCCACCTGAGTGGATACGTAATATTCTTTCAGTTAGGTGAAATTTACCTAGTGGTTATAGTAAGGCTGGTATATGGGCCGGGCTCGGGTCTAAGTGGACTTTGTGAGCCGGTTTTAAGTGGGTTTGGTCCCAAATTAAACATGCCTAAGGGATTCTGACTTCGCGGGTTTTTTGTTGGAATCGGATTGGGACCGGGCCCACGAACTAATGGTCCCAGGCTAAGTGAGCCTAAGTGGGCCCAACGGATACTTTTTATATTTTTTAAAAATTTTATAAAAGTTAGAGAAAAAAAATGGTAATAAAAATATGTAAGACAATTTCTTGTAAATTATATTATAGAATTGTGACCTAAATTTTTTAATTCAAATTGAAAGATAAAAATATTGTAAAGAGATATTCAAAGCAATGCGTTATAATCTTATTATGGCATTAAAAAAATATGGCAATATCTTTCTTAGTCTTCCTCTCCCTATGGAATGAGCATAACAAGGTGTTAATACCACCATTGAGAAAAAAAAGAAACTAATCAAGATGTGCCAAAATACAAGTTACATATTAATTTTTGTTCATATAAGTTACATGATATCTCTTATAAATTTCATAAATCCTTCAAGGTCCGGAGGAATTTTCGTTAGTGGTGGCGGAAAAGAAACTTGGTCATCACCGCTTCCGGGCGAAGCAGCATCCTGCGCAAGTTCAGCTAGCATTTCTTCGTAAGTTTCGTCTACCTGTGGTTGTGATTCAGCAAGTTCAGAATTTCTTCTTTCCGAACGGATTCAATCTTTGAAAAATACTGATTTTTCCAAGCTCTCCCTCATAGACGCTCTATAATCACCGAGTTGAAGTCTTGCTTGACCGTTTAGGCCCGCTAGGACCGGTCCGGGCTCGGTCCCAAACGGTCCAGTCTCGCAAGCCTCAAGCTAAGGACCGACCCACTTGCAAGACCCACCTCCCTCGGTCCCGGTCTTAAACGGTTCAGCCCGTTTAGGCCCACTACCCACATGAGCCGCAGTCCCGATTCTGGACCGGCCCACTTGCCAACCTTAGTTATAGATGGTCCCGCAGATGAGAAGGTACCAGTGCCTAAATCAAGTGCCATAACACTTTTTTTTTCATCCGGTATCTTATATTCGCAGTAGTATGTTAATTAAATCATATTCGTATCGTGTAAAATTCATTAAAGAGAAAAGTGCTTTTATCATAAAGTTTTTTCTTAAGGCTCAAACACAAAATATATGATTAAGGATGAGTTGTACACCAACACAATGGACGTGTGATTTTATCCTTCGATGATCACCACAAATGACTTACGCTGAAGTGGTTTCAAACTATTAGCCGTTAACAAATGCTGCCTAGATCTTTTCTCACCTGATTGGCCAAGCTTCTTCTCAAGCTAAAAGTCTTTTTTTCCTTTCAAAAAAGTATTTTTTTTCAATTTGAATTATTTGATCAAGCTATTTTGGGAAAAAAAAGTATTTTTTGCTAGAAGCAGAAACAACTTTTTAGAAACAGTAAAAAATAGCTTCTCCCTAGAAGCAGAAGCAGAAGCAGTTTTAACTTTTTTTCCTACCAAAAATACCCCTAGCAAAATATTATATACACCAAAAAAACCTTACTTAGTTTAAACTATTAGGTAATATATAATAAATTTTCATATTTATTGAATGATTTTTGATATATTTAAATTATCTTGAAAGAATAACGTACTTTTCAATTTTATTTTTATATTTTACTTAAATAAAATAAAATTTTAATTATTATCTTTAATAATAAATATTTATGAATATTTATGTACTTATAAAATATTAGCTATTAAACAAATCATTTCATGTCCTTATTCGTAATTTGACACTTAAAAGTATTTTTTGAAAAGCTTGACCTAATACAAATTATTGTTCAAAAGTGTTTTTCAAATTAATTAACTAAATATAAATTAGTTTTCTCCAAAAATATTTTTTAAAAATATACTTCTCAAAATAAGCTAATTTTTTCGACGTGACCAAACATGATGTTAGAAAGCTGGTCTTTCAAACACAAGAAGAATGTAGATGAGTGCAAAATTGCCTAAATTCTTATGGCAATTTTCTTTTTTTCCTTCTTTTTTGCTAATATGGACAAATTACTTGTTACCTATATTAGTTGGTGAAAGATAACATTCATGAAAAATAAATTGACAAAAAAAATAAAAAGAACTAACGAACTCTCTAAAGAATAATATTTAAAAAGGCTAAAGTGTACACATGTTGGGTAATGGATACAAGGGATGAAATTTGGACACGTAGCACTTTGCACTTTTGTACACTTTTTCTTTATCTTTTCCTACTCTTTTATTTGAATGGTCCAGAAACAATGTATTCCAAATTTATGTAATTATATTTGTTTTTGGTTTCTTTTGGAAAACTCCAGTATGGAAAAGTTGTAATTTTGTGCTTTTGGTTGGCAGACATGGATGATAATTGTAGTTAGGTCATGGATAATTCAACGGTGGGAAATAGCAATAGCAATATTTTTTTGGTTTCTCTTTCGGTATTTAGAATTCGATTAAATCCAAATACGTGTCGGAAAATCCCATATCGGAGGTAAAGGACTTCCTAACACATACGACTTTATATTCAAAACTCAAATTC